TCTTTAGGATGACCTGATTCGCGCGGTGCATGAGGATAAATTGTTACACCTTAGTGTTCGGAAGACCTTACTAACACTACAGCGAGATTATTATTGGCCTGGGGTGACCGCTGATGTTTACAAGGTGGTCCAAGGGTGTATGGAATGTGCACGCAGGTTGCCGCCACAGCGGAAGTTCCATCCTCCGTTACAATCCATTTCGGTTTCACGGATCAACGAATTGGTAGCGCTCGATATCCTTGGGCCCTTTCCTGCCACTCCAAGGGGGAATAAATTTATCTTAGTGGGGGTTGAGTATTTCTCCCGATGGCCTATGGCTTGGCTGCTGCCTGACCAGTCGGCAGCATCCATTGCGGAGGCATTTTTGTACGGTTACATAATGGACAAGGGAGCCCCTGAGCAGTTGCTCACTGACCAGGGATGCAATTTATCATCTAAACTGCTGCGTGAAGTTTGCGACGCTTTAGGTACTAAAAAAATTAGAATGTCACCGTACCACCCCCAGACGGATGGGATGGTGGAGCACCTGAATAGAATTCTGACCTCCATGCTCTGTCAGGCGGTTGACGCAGCGTAAACGGACCGGGATTTGCATGTTCCGAGTGTACTGGCAGCATATAGGATGGCCCCTCATACTTCCACGGGATTTTCACCGTTTTTTCTCATGTATGGGAGGGAGAATGTACCCCCTATATATGTCCAATTGGCTTCGCCACTGGATGAAATGAAATCCAAGTTGCCTGAGCATGTGAAAATTACCCTGCAACGCATTTCAATGGCTCGGGAGGCGGCCAGATTTAACGCCACCGAAGCACAACGAATTGCGGGGAAACGGGATCACGTGCTAGCGTGGTCCGTTGGTGACAGAGCATGGTTACATTGCCCACAGTTGCCAGCTGGTATGTCCCCTAAGCTCATAAGCCCTGGCAAGGGCCCGTGGAAGTGGTCGAGGTTAAACGGCCACAGTGTGTGCGTATTCGGGTGGGCCGTTGCCGTTGGTTTGTCCATCCATCTTGGTTGAAGCCGTTTGTTCCTCCGCGGATCGCCTCTCCATCTCCAAAAATTGGTCTGCCGGTGTCTGATGTATCCGACGAGCCGGGGATGGTGTGTTTCGCAGGACGTACATCAGAAGGATTGTGTCGTGCCGCCCATAGCATCTGAGCCTGTGACCGTGGACGGGCGTCGAAGCCTCGCCGGGACCGAGGAGATGCCTGCTGCCGCCGAGCCTGCTGCGTCTGCGCCTCCTTTTTTGCAGTCCGCATCTCCGGCTGTTCCGGTGGTGTGCACACCACCCGAGCAGGAGCACAAGACCGTCCCCGTCGACGGACCGGCATCGTGAACTCGGTCCAAATGCTTGCGATTCCATTGATTCCTTGTTCTGGGTATTGCTCGGGAATGGAGGAGAGGTTGTGGTTGATGTTCAGTTCTGTTTTTTTTTTCTTCCTCCGTCTTGTTCCCCTTCGTAATTTTCCCTTCCCTCCTTGTTCCCTTATGTTGGGTGTTGATTGTTCCTGCGGATTGTCCCGCCCTTTAAGGAAGATGACTCGAGTCGTGATTTTATAGCTCTTTATTGTCGTTCTTATCCTGCACATGGGTGCACTTACCTGTTAATTGAGTATTAGCAGAGATGGCGAACATATTTTATTATGGGGGGGCGTGATGTAATAACATGATTACACCTGCTGGTTGGAAAATGGAAGAACGGATAAAGGCACCACAAGAACAACATCCAATCCGTATGTGCCAAAGGTAATGGGCGAGGCTGGCTGGGATGCTCCGGGAACCCGCGCGGAGGTTCTATGATAGGGCCTGGCCAGAGGCGGAGCCTAGCCACGCCTGCGGGAATATACGCAGGGGCGGAGGAGAACTCGGGGTTCGTGTGTGGAGTCTTGGGTCCGGACTTCGTCGCTGCTCGCCGTCATCTCTCTCCGCCGTCCGGCCACGAGGATGAACTCCTGCGATGTTCCATCACCCTTGCCGGCCCGCCGCCAGCCAGCGGCGAAGCCGAGAGTGGACGATAGAACCACGCCATGTGATCGACCGTGTGTGTAACCAGAAGAGTGCAAACATCTAGGTGTTGTACCATAATGAGAATAAAGGTTGGCTTGTGCTGTGCCATGTGTGAATAAAGAAGAAGTGCCCTCTACATGACGAGTCGGGGAAAACATTCATTACAATACTACTTATACTAGTAGTAGGTTCTGTTCCATGTTATGATCAATCATGCCATCTCCACAACAAGCAGTTGTAGTCCTAGTAGTAATAGTACTCATACTACTAGTGTAGTAGGTTATGCTCCATGTTACGATCCACCATTTTATCTCCACTACACGTAGTCATAGTCCTAGTAGTAATAGTACTCATACTACTAGTGTAGTAGGTTATGTTCCAGGTTGGAGAGAGAACGGCTGGGGGGAGTGGCTGGGGAGGAGGGGGGAGTGGCAGGGGAGGTGGGGGGGGGGGAGTGGCTGAGGAGGTTGGGGGGGAGTGGCTGGGGAGGTGGGGGCAGTGGCTAAGGAGGTGGGGGGAGTGGCTGGGGAGGTGGGTGGAGTGGCTGGGGAGGTGGGGGCAGTGGCTGGGGAGGTGGGGGGGGAGTGGCTTGGGAGGTGGGGGGGAGTGGCTGCGGAGGTGGGGGCATTGTCTGGGGAAGTGGGGGGAGTAGCTGGGGAGGTGGGGAGAGTGGCTGAGGAGGGGGGGGGGGAGTGGCTGGGGAGGTGGGGGGAGTGGCTGGGAACGTGGGTGGCGTGGCTGGGCAGGTGGGTGGAGTGGCTGGGAACGTGGGTGGCGTGGCTGGGCAGGTGGGTGGAGTGGCTGGAGAGGTGGGGGCAGTGGCTGGAGAGGTGGGAGTAGTGGCTGGGGAGGTGGAGGGAGTGGCTGGGGAGGTGGGGAAGAGTGGCAGGGGAGGTGGGGTGAGTGGCTGGGGAGGTGGGGAGGAGTGGCAGGTGTGGTGGGGGGAGTGGCAGGTGTGGTGGGGGGAGTGGCTGGGGTGGTGGGAGGAGTGGCTGCGGAGGTGGGGGGAGTGGCTGGGGAGGTGGGGAGGAGTGGCTGGGGAAGTGGGGGGAGTGGCTGGGGAGGTGGGGGGGGTGTGGCTGGGGAGGTGGGGGGAGTGGTTGGGGAGGTGGGGGGAGTGGCTGGGGAGGTGGGGAGGAGTGGCTGGGGAGGTGGGGGGAGTGGCTGGGGAGGTGGGGAGGAGTGGCTGGGGAGGTGGGGGGAGTGGCTGGGGTGGTGGGGCGAGTGGCTGGGGAGGGGGGGGGGCAGTGGCTGGGGTGGTAGGGGGGGGTGGCTGGGGAGGTGGGGGCAGTGGCTGGGGTGGTGGGGGGAGTGGCTGCGGTGGTGGGGGGAATGGCTGGGGAGGTGATAGGGAGTGGCTGGGGAGGTGGAGAGGAGTGGCTGGGAAGGTGGGGGGAGTGGCTGGGGAGGTGGGGGGAATGACTGGGGAGGTGGGGGCAGTGACTGGGGAGGTAGGGGCAGTGGCTGGGCTGGTGGGGGGCGTGGCTGCGGTGGTGGGGGGAGTGGCTGGGTGGTGGGGGGAGTGGCTGGGGAGGTGATGGGGAGTGGCTGGGGAGATGGGGGGGAGGTGGGGAGGAGTGGCTGGGAAGGTGGGGGGAGAGGCTGGGGAGGTGGGGGGAGTGGCTGGGAAGGTGGGGGGGAGTGGCTGGGGTGATGGGGGGAGTGGCTGGTGAGGTGGGGGGGGGGGGGCTGGGGAGGTGGGGGGGAGGGGCTGGGGTGGTGGGGGGAGTGCCTGGGGAGGTGGGGGGGGGCGGGGCTGGGGAGGGGGGGGGGAGGGGCTGGGGAGGTGGGGGGGAGTGGCTGGGGAGGTGGGGGGGAGTGGCTGGGGAGGTGGGGGGGAGTGGCTGGGGAGGTGGGGGGAGTGGCTGGGGAGGTGGGGGGGAGTGGGTGGGGAGGTGGGGGGAGTGGCTGGGGTGGTGGGGGGAGTGGCTGGGGAGGTGGGGGGAGGGGCTGGGGAGGTGGGGGGGAGTGGCTGGGGAAGTGGGGGGAGTGGCTTGGGAGGATGGGGGAGTGGCTGGTGTGGTGGGGGGAGTTGCTGGGGAGGTGGGGGACGTGGCTGGGGAGGTGGGGGGAGTGGCTGGGGAGGTGGGGGGAGTGGCTGGGGAGGTGGGGGCAGTGGCTGGGGAGGTGGGGGGAGTGGCTGGAGTGGTGGGGGGAGTGGCTGGCGAGGTCGGGGGAGTGGCTGGGGAGGTGGGGGGGAGTGGCTGGGGAGGTGGGGGGAGTGGCTGGAGTGGTGGGGGAAGTGGCTGCGGTGGTGGGGGGAGTGGCTGGGGTGGTCGGAGGAGTGGCTGGGGATGTGGGGGGAGTGCCTGGGGAGGTGGGGGCAGTGGCTGGGGAGGTGGGGGGAGTGGCTGGGGACGTGGCGGAGTGACTGGGGACGTGGGTGGAGTGGCTGGGGAGGTGGGGGACGTGGCTGGGGAGGTGGGGGGAGTGGCTGGGGAGGTGGGGGGAGTGGCTTGTGAGGTGGGGAGAGTGGCTGGGGATGTGGGGGGAGTGGCTGGGGAGGTGGGGGGGGTGGCTGGGGAGGTGGGGGGAGTTGCTGGGGAGGTGGGGGTGGGTAGTTGCTAGGGAGGTGGGGGCAGTGACTGGGAGGGTGGGAGGAGTGGCTGGAGAGGTGGGGGGAGTGGCTGGGGAGGTGGGGGGAGTGGCTCGGGAGGTGGGGGGAGTGGCTGGGGAGGTGGGGGGAGTGGCTGGGGTGGTGGGGGAGTGGCTGGGGAGGTGGGGGAGTGGCTGGGGAGGTGGGGGAGTGGCTGGGGAGGTGGGGGAGAGGCTGGGGAGGTGGGGGGAGTGGCTGGGGAGGTGGGGGGAGTGGCTGGGGTGGTGGGGGGAGTAGCTGGGGAGGTGGGGGGAGTGTCTGGGGAGGTGGGGGGAGTGGCTGGGGAGGTGGGGGGGAGTGGCTGGGGAGGTGGGGGGGAGTGGCTGGGAAGGTGGGGGGGAGTGGCTCGGGAGGTGGGGGGGAGTGGTTAGGGGGCGTGGTCTCTAAGGGGGCGTAGTCGTTACGACCCCTGACCCCGCGAATCGCGAGGCCGCGGATTCCGCCACTCGCTCAGCCGCCTCCTCCCCGCAGCCTCGGCCTCAATCGCGAGCAGCCCTCACCACTTCACCACCGCCTCCTCACCACCGCCCTCTCACCACCGCCCTCTCACCACCGCCCTCTCACCACCGCCCTCTCACCACCGCCCACTCACCACCACCTCTTCACCGCCGCCTGTTCCTCACCACCAGCACCGCCTCACCACCGCTGCAACAGCAGCTGCGACTTCTCTTCTCGCCCCGTGCTTCAGCACAGGTTCATAATGTTAGTGTTTGTGTTATAGTACCTGTGTTATAGTGCCTGTGTTATAGTGGCCTCACGGTGCACATAGCCTGGCACAAGCGTCGTGGTGACGTCACCGCCACTTAGTGGCGAATGGCGGTTGTTGTGTTATAGTGTCTGTGTTATAGTGCCTGTGTTATAGTGCCTGTGTCATAGTGTCTGTCACAGTGCCTGTGTTATAGTGTCTGTGTTATAGTGTCTGTGTCATAGTGCCTGTGTTATAGTATCTGTGTCATAGTGTCTGTGTCATAGTGCCTGTGTTATAGTGTCTGTGTTATAGTGCCTGTGTTATAGTGTCTGTGTCATAGTGCCTGTGTTATAGTATCTGTGTCATAGTGTCTGTGTCATAGTGCCTGTGTTATAGTGTCTGTGTTATAGTGCCTGTGTTATAGTATCTGTGTCATAGTGTCTGTGTCTGTGTCATAGTGCCTGTGTTATAGTGTCTGTGGGGAGCGGTAGTGTAGCGGTTAGCGCGCTGCACTACGAACCTGGCGACCCGGGTTCGATTCCCGCTCACGGCCAACACCAGTGACGATTATCTTAACCGATCCCGGGCCTCCCCTAGGTCGACTCAGCCTCAAATAAGTACTTGGTGCGGTGTGTAAACATTGCCACTAGGGAGACAAAGGCGGTCGGGCGTGGTGCTGGCCACCCACCCCCTCGTGTACCGTTCCGGCCTTCATAAGTGCTCGCTAACAGCACTTGCCCCTACAGTTTGTAGGCTATATGGGGGATTCATCTTCTTTGGTTCTTTCGGTAAAGTCACGTAGAATGAGAATAAAATTAAAATAAAATAACACAATAATATTCTCACGACGTTTCGGCCACAACACAAGCGGCCTTCATCAGGTGAAGGGACGAGACTGTCTGGAGGACAGCGCTGGAGTGAAAAAGCCACGCTCAGATCGCGACCTTTAAGCTGTGTAGGAAGAAACAAAGCACCTTAACAAAGGAATTAGCATAGAATTTAGCATTGAAATGGCTGAGTGATGAGCTTGTGACTGGTCACAGAAATGGCAGAGGCACCCCTTGACAAAGGAATTAGCATAGAATTTAGCATTGAAATAGCTAAGACTTATTGTTGGTAGCTTAGCTGATTGGAGAATATATAGAGTTTGTTGATAACATTGAGGTAATTTATATTTTGGTTTTTAATTGGTTTACTATATAGTATTCATTATATATTGTAGTGTATACCCAGTTACTGTGAATAGCTCAGATGTGTAGGCCTTGACTTCAACATAGCCATTTCTGTGACCAGTCACAAGCTAATCACTCAGTTATTTCAATGCTAAATTCGCCTAGTTATTTCAATGCTAAATCTTCCTGTTTGATTTGTACTAGGTGCCTCGGTGAATGTATATGCTCTGACTTTAACATAGCTATTTCTGTGACGAGTTACAAGCTAATCACTCAGCTATTTCAATGTTAAATTCTATGCTAATTCCTTTGTCAAGGGGTGCCTCTGCGGATGTGTATGCTTTAACTTTAACATAGACATTTCTGTGACCAGTCACAAGCTAATCACTCAGCCATTTCAATGCTAAATTCTATGCTAATTCCTTTGTCAAGGCGCTTTGTTTCTTCACACACAGCTTAAAGGTCGCGATCTGAGCGTGGCTTTTTCACTCCAGCGCTGTCCTCCAGACAGTCTCGTCCCTTCACCTGATGAAGGCCGCTTGTGTTGTGGCCGAAACGTCGTGAGAATATTATTGTGTTATTTTATCAATTTATTATTTTATTCTCATTCTACGTGACTTTACCGAAAGAACCAAAGAAGATGAATCCTTGCAGTCACAAAAGCTTTAAATCGAAAAATATATGGGGGATCTTTGTCTTTTTGTCTTTGTGTCTTTGTGTCATCGTGTCTGTGTCTTAGTGGTTCTTAGTGGCTGTGTCATAGTGTCTGTGTCATAATGTCTGTGTCTTAGTGCCTGTGTTATAGTGTCTTTGTCATATTGTCTGTGTCATAGTGTCTGTGTCATCGTGTCTGTGTCATAGTATCTGTGTCATAGTATCTGTGTCTGTGTTATAGTGTCTGTGTCATAGTGTCATTGTGTCTGTGTCATAGTGTCTGTTTCATAGTGTCTGTGTCATAGTATCTGTGTCTGTGTTATAGTGTCTGTGTCATAGTGTCTGTGTCATAGTGTTATAGTGTCTGTGTCATATTGTCTGTGTAATAGTGTCTGTGTCATAGTGTCTGTGTCATATTGACCTGGTCAAGGCCTATGATACCATCAGTAGGCCTGGGCTCTGGGTTGTTCTTCGTGCTTTTGGAGTCCCTGACCCTCTGCTCACGATCATTAAGGACTTTCATGATGGTGAGCGGGCCCGGGTAAAACTACGTGGCCGGGAGTCAGAGCCATTCCCTGTACACCTTGGGCTGCGACAGGGATGTCCTCTGGCTCCCACATTATTTAACATCTATTTTGACCACGTAGTTCGTGAAGCCTTCAATAGCTGTACCGGGGGAATCTCCATATGGTAGAGATATAATGGGAGGCTGATCGATGCCGGGGTGCGGTCAAGGGATGGCTCCCTATTGCTCAACCACGTTATGTATGCCGATGATTTGGTAATAGCTGCTCATTCAGAAGAGGAGTTGGAGACGCTGCTGCTGAGACTGCAGCGTGCCACTAAGAGATGGGGCCTTACCATCAGCCCCACCAAAACTAAGCACCTGCCTGGGTATTTTGTACCATCGGACACTCCACCCCCACAACTCCCAATCAGTGATGGGGCAGTTGTGGAGAGAGTGGAGAGTTTCCCATACCTGGGCAGTGTGCTTATGACCGGCTCCAGTTTAACAGCAGAGGTCTCACTCCGAATCAGTTGAGCGGCAATATCTTTTCATCGGTTGCGTAATGCTGTGTGGAAGCTACCCGGTCTGTCGCTCCGCACTAAGCTTCAGGTCTTCTCGGCCACGGTCATTCCCTCCCTTCTCTACGCTTGCGAAACGTGGACCCCCTTAATGGAGCATCTTCGCCGGTTGGAAACATTTAGGCTGGCCTGCCTACGATCCATCCTGGGTTTAACCAGGCTGGATTGTGTGAGGAGCTCACAAATCCTTGAAAGATCTGGGCAAGGTCCCATCGGTGAGCTCCTCCGGCAGGCAAGGCTGCGTTGGCTGGGTCATGTAGCCCGCATGCCAAGCCACCGCATGCCGAAACAGAGAGAAGAGATGGAGTGATGTGGTACAGGAGGACATGGAGCTGAGTAGACTTGCCGATGACTGGTACCAGCGGTGTCAAGATCCGCCTCTGTGGAGGAGGCTCGTGAAGGACGCTATTGGGCACTTGGAGGGCGGAGGAGCGACGCTTACAACAATGAGCGGAGCGCCGGGTGGCTAAAGCACAGCAGGTTGGCACAGTTGGGGGCACAGGTGGTGCACCAGCCAGTCATCTCAGTCAGTCGACTCGTGGCACCTGGGTCTGCCCCGTGACCTCCTGCCCTCGGGCGTTCGACACTTCACGTGGCCTCAGGGTGCACATAGCCTGGCACAAACGTCGTCGTGGTGACGTCACCGCCACTTAGTGGCGAATGGCGGTTGTTGTCTGGGTCAGTGATCGTGTCTGGATCATAGTTATTGTGTCTGGTTCATTGTGTCTCTGTCATAGTGTCTGTGTCAGGTTCAAGCAGGGAGTGGCTTTTCTTCCAAACAAAGAATGAAGTGGTCATGGGAGGGTGGCATGGTGAGGTATGGGAAGCTGTAATCCCCAGGCTACTGTGGGCTCACCTCTTCATCAATGGGAGGCGAGGAGTGGCTGTGGTGGTTTCTTACACCCCCATCGAAGATGAACATCAGTGGAGTGGATATAGACAAGGTCGATGAGTCAGATGCCTTCAAGTGCTAGCTAAAGTGGCCCCTAGGGATAGAGTCACCCTGTTGGGTGACTTCGATGCCCGAGTTTGTCATGACACTGGCACCTGGTCTGCAGTGATTGGAAGGCATGGGCCAGATCAGCTCAATAACAACGGTAGGAGGCTGCTAGATTTCTATGCAAAACCATGGGCTTTTAACTATGAACATGCTGTTCTAGCATTGGCGCATGCACACAACATCATTGATGCACGCCTGGTCCAAACAACAACATCTGCTGGACTATATAGTGATGAAACTGAATGCGGGCCATGTCCTTGACTTAAGGACCTATTGTGGAACTGATTTGCCCACTGACCATTGGCTTGTCATCTGTAAGATGCGCCTGCCATTCTTCTATTCCAGTGATGGGTGTCTATCTAGGACCCCATTCAAACCCACAGTGGCCTGGTCTCAGCTAGTTGATGAAAGTTGCGAGCGTGAATTTTATCATCGCATGCAGCTGGGTTTGGCATCGTCCCCCCCTCCTGATGCCGAGAGGGAAATGTGGCTCATGCAGCTATAATGGCTGCATTGGGTACAGGTCCAAACCTGCTCAGAGACCCTGGCGAACAGGGGAGGTTTCAGTTATTTGGTATAGCCCTTTGAGCCATTCGGCTCTTGAATCGGGTTCAACCGCAAAAAAACAAAAAATAAAAACATGAACAAGAAAACATCTTAACCGAGCACAGAGCGGCAGCAGACGGCACCTCGAGCCACCGCGCGTCCCTCGCGACTCCTGAGCAGAGCGTGCGGCTGCGATTCTACGAGAAGAGCCCGGTCCACGCTCACGAGGAATTAGCGCGCAACAACCCAGGACATGTGCTCGATTTAGAAAGTGTTTATTTTGTGAATGGTTTGGTAACACTGGCGCGCAAGCAGTTTAGAAGAGGTGGGTGTTCCAGCTGGCTGAGAAAAAGCGACAGACCAATTCCCACCGTCTACAGCGTCCCACGTTGCAGAATGAGGAGGCTTGCCGCAGCTTTACCTCGGAGGTTCAGAGAGTGGTGGCTGAGGAGATGGAGTCTGCCTCAGTCGCTCGTGCTCACACATAACACTTTAATTCCATCAAAAAAATCTAAAAAGTAACTTGCAGCATCACACCTATCACCCTCCTGAGGGGAAGGAAAGGTGATTCAATCTCTGACCCCCATGAACAGGTTTGCAGATTTGCTGAGCATGTCTGTGAGCTCTTGGGGGAGGGGAAATCCCGCAGCCCAGAAAACATGGGCCAAAGTGGGGATGACCCTGCTGAGGCTGCAGTGCCTCAAATATTGGAAGCAATGGTCACCCCCTGTAAGTGCCTGGCTGAAGTGCCATCTGTTGAGGAAGTACGAAAGGCAATCTAGAGTCTGAGACCCGGAAAATCGCCGGCAGAGATGATCTCCCAAGCGAACTGCTGAGGGTGATGTTTGTGTGCAGACTGCCCTATATGACATCATGATAAGAGTCTGGACCACTGGACAGGTTCCACAGGTTTAGAAGAATGCCAGACTGTAACAACTACAGTGGCATCTCCCTCAATGTGCTGGAAAAGGTCCTGGCAAGGCTTATTCAGCATCACCTTGCCAGGCATGCTGAGGAGAGGCTTGCGGAACCCCAATGTGGTTTTAGGCCAGGGTGGTCCTGCAAAGATGCAATATTTTCTGTTCATCAACTACAGTCGGTAGGGAATTCCAACAGCATCTACATTTCTGCTTTATTGACCTGGTCAAGGCCCATGATACCATTGATAGGTCTGGGCTCTCCCTGACTCTGCTCACAATGATTAAGGACCTTCATGATGGTCGGCAGGCACGGGTAAAGCTACGTGGCCGGGAGTCGGAGCCAATCCCTTGGAGTGTGACAGGGATGTTCTCTGGCACCTACGTTATAGAAAAAAATTTTGACCACGTAGTTCGAGAAGCATTCCATGGCTCTACTGGAGGAATTTCGATCTGGTACAGATGCATTAGGATGCTGATCGATGGTCGGGTGCGGTAGAGGGATGGCTCCCTATTGGTCAGCCATGCTATGTTGCTGATGATCTGGTGATTGCTGCTCACTCTGAGGAGGAGTTTGAGGCACTGCTGCTGAACCTGGAGTGTGCTATTAAGAGGTGGAGCCTAACCATCAGCCCCACCAAAGCTAAACACCTGCCTGGGCATTTTGTGTCATCAAACACTCCACCCTCTTAAATCCCCATTGGTTGGGTAGTTGTGGAGAGAGTGGAGAATTTTCCATACATGGGCAGTGTGCTTATGACCAGCTTTGGTTTGACAGCAGAGGTCTCACTCCAAATCAGTCGCGTGGCATTATCCTTTCATCGCCTGCGTAACGCTGTGTGGAAGCTACCTGGTCTTTCGCTCCACACGAAGCACGGGTCTTCTCCGCCACAAACGTGAACCCCAATGGAACATCTTCGCTGGTCCATTCTGGGTTTAACCAGGCTGGATTGTGAGTTGCTTCGTCGGCCAGTAATCTTAGTCAACCCTTGGCACCTGGATCTGTCCCGTGACCTCCTGCCAGCAGCCATTCAACATTTCACGTAGCCATAAAGTGCACGTAGCCTGGCACAAGCGCCGTCGTGATGTCACCTCCACTTAGTGGCGAATGGGTAGTTGTTGGTGTCAGGTTCATAGTGATTGTGTCAGGTTCATAATAGCTGTGTTTGTTTCATAGTCATCTTGTCAGGTTCGTAATGGATGTCTGGTTTGTAGTGATCGTTTCAGTTCATAATGGCTATGTCTGTTCCATTATGTCATGTTCATAATGCATATGGAGATTTAAAAAAGTGAAGTTTTATTTTATTTTTTAAGTAATTTGTCTAACTTTCCTATTCTTTACACTCGTCTGTCGTGTTGTTGTTACGTTCTGACCCCCCCCCGTGTCCGCCCTTGCTGGACATCTGTAAAAAAAAAAAATTCATAGCTCATCGGATTCCTCCTCCGGCACAAACATTATATTCCGACTCTTAATTTACAGGATGTCGTGTTGCGCCACGGCTATGCCGCTGGAGGCGATCGGCGACGGCAGCAGCTTCCCGGCGTGGCTGGAGACGCAGGGCGTGAGTGCCGAGGTGGCCCGCGCCCTCGACTCGGAGCTGGGCATCCGCGACTACGGCCTCCTGCGCGCCTGCGTGGACGACGGGAGCGTGCGAGCGGAGCTGCTGGCCACCGCTCGCCAACGCCTGCCCTTCGGGTTCTACGCGGCGCTGAGGCGCGCCGTGAAGGCCCTGCGACAGCTCAACAACGAAGACGGAGAGGGAGGAGGAGCGGGAGGAGGAGAAGCGGGAGGAGGAGCGGGAGGAGGAGGAGACGCAGGCGCGACGCTGCTGGGAGGCCTCGTGGAGGCGCTCCTCGCGCTCTTCGGGGGCCTCAGCCGCGAGCTGCTGCTCTCCGCTGAGCGCCTGGGGGCACTCACCGCTCACCGCCTCTGCCCCGGAGTGTCCGGAGACGGCCGGGAGGGAAGGGACGGGGGAGGTCGCGGAGAGTGGGGCGAGGCCAACGGTAAAGAAACGGACGGGCGATCGCGCTGTGTCATTCTCTCATGGAGTGGCACAACACTCCACGTTCAAAGGAGATGTTAACTACCTCTCCTGGTATACTGGATAGCGTGGGTTCGATCCCTGACGTCTGCTGTATTTTTTGAGTTTGCGTGTCTCTTTATCCCCGTGAAGATGTTAACTACCTCGCCTGGTATGCAGGAGGTTGTGGGTTTGATCCCTGACCCTGACACCTGTATATTTGGAGTCCGCATCTCTCTCTCTCTCTCCGTGGTCACGTGAATTTCCATCCTACGGTTTTTCTCCTCTACGTTCAGAATCGACAATCGTGCGTTTAGAGCATTTGGCTGCTATAAATCTCCACGTGAGCTATCATGACGTGTGGCAAGGTCACCTCTGAAAAAGTGCTACATAGCTCAGTGGGGCCTTACCTGAAAAATAAATCCTGACTTAAAGATTTCGTGACTGCATTAATTCATATTCTTTGGGTCTTTTGGTAAAGTCACGTAGATAGGTTCAAAGAAAATAACAAAAAAATAACAAAAAACTACGACGTTTCGATCGCAACACAAGCGTTCGTCATCGGGAAGAGGGGGTTAGCTTCTAAAGGTAAACTGTTTATAAAAGTTTGACATGGACGTAGGCCAAATATCAGCAGCCAATGTTAATGTAAGTGGTGGGCAGCGACCAATCATTAGGCTGCCTATGATTGGTGGGAAAACCCACAACCGTCGCGATCGCTGCCTAACATTGGCTGCTGACATTTGGGCTACGCCCATTTCAAACGCGAACACACAAATAAACACGTCCTTCCACTCTACACTATATACTACACTCCACTCCGCTACTGTGTTTAGTTTGTTGTCCTCCTGCACGTCCGATTAGCACGGTTGGCTACGTACGGTGCGAAAGAAGTTCAAAATACACATGTCCATGTCTTGTGGGGCATCCTGCACACAATTGCCACTCTTCAGCATTTCGTTTTGGCACGTCACCTGATCTCATGCTCTGGATCCACTCTTCATGGCTGGCACAGCAGCCAGCCACTCACAGGGCGTGGTTGCTTCCCATGATATTTGAGACCCAACAGTCCCGGCAGGGTCAATATTTTGTGAGATCCGCCAACCCCTTGCCTCCCAAAGTGCTGAATTAAAGGCATGGGTCGCCACTACCCCTCTTTAGCTCAATCTACAAAGAGAAAAGTGCTGTTAGCGAGTAGCACCTATCAAGCCCAGCAAGGCACACGAGAGGGTGGGTGGCCAGCACCATGCCCGGCCACCTTTGTCTCCCCACTGGCGATGTTTACTACACACTGCACCAGATACTTATTTGAGGATGACTTGACCTACGGGAGGCCAGTACTGGTTCAGATAATCTCCAGGGTCGTAGCGCAGTGTACTATCTGCAACACTACCACTCCAAAGTGTGTGTACATTGTCGATTTAAGTATGCAGAGAATATGCAATACCTATGATTGGTTGAGTTATTCACAGTTAATCAAAAGAATGTGTGTACATTATGTTAATTTATGACTACTTTATGTTGATATCAGAGTATTCCGAGAAGTATGTAGGACCTAAATTTCGATTTAAAGCTTTTGTGACTGCAGGGATTCATATTCTTGGTTCTTTCGGTAAAGTAACGTAGAAAGGAAATAATGAAATAATAAAAATATAAAATTCTCACTACGTTTCGATTGCAACACAAGCAATCATCATCAGGTGTGAAAACCACAGCAAGAACATTTTCTGGCCAAGAATGTTATTGTTTTATATTTTTATTATTTTATGATTTCACTTCTACGTGACTTTACCGATAGAACCAAGAATATGTAGGACCTATTATTATTATTATTGGCTACTACTCAACCCCTTCCTCATACGTGAACCTTGGCGAATTCACCCTTGCACTTGCCTCACGCATCTGGCAACGGAGAGAGCACCGAGTTGATTCCGTGTGTCTGGGCTTGTTGTGTGTGTGTGTGCGTGCATGTGTGTGTGTGTCCATGCGCGTGCGCAGAGGAGGAGGTGGTGGGGGATGACGCCCCAACGCACGACCCCCGGTGGGACACGATGGCGGTTAAGACGGAGACGTGCGGAGGTATTTTATCTTTCTCCAGGTCGCCCGCGTCGCCACGTTACCACGTCGCCACTTTTACCACAATCGTTAACAAACTGCAGCCGAACGCGGCGGCTACATAACCGAGCAGTTGCAAGGGGGTTCGAGTTCGTACGCGGATAACAGAGCTTTTGCTGGATAACATTTGGGAGTATTGGCGGTACACTGGTGATACATGACACACCAGGTTCTTATAAAACGGTGCTAAAATCAAAATGTCAACTGACATTCGTTTTCCGACTGCTTCGACATTATGAGAATTCTGGTTTATACACCACCACCCACCACCAACCACCCATCAATCACCATCAACCACCACCCACCACCCATCAACCACCAACCACCACCCATCGACCACCACCCATCAACGACCACCCCCGCAAGATTTTCTGACCGGGAGTTGCAAATCGCCAACACGTTAATTTGTTCAAAGTGGCACGCGTGATGGGAAGAATGTTACGTTAATGCACATGCATTATCAGACCAGGGTGGGTGGAGTGGGTTTGAACCTCCGATTTAGCACGGTTGGCTACATACGGTGGGAAAGAAGTTCAACATGCATACGTACTACACTATACAATACACTACTTTACACAATTCGACACACTACACTACTATACACTGCACTAGTATACACTACACTACTATACACTACACTATTCTACACTACACTATTATACACTACACTACTATACACTACACTGCTGCTATACACTACACTGCTATACACTACACTGCTATACACTAAACTAGTATACACTACACTACTATACACTACACTGCTATACACTACACTATACACTACACTACTATACACTACACTACTATACACTACACTACTATACACTACTATACACTACACTATACACACTTATACACACTACTCTACACTACACTGCTATACACTACACTGCTATACACTACACTGCTATACACTGCACTGCTATACACTACACTACTATACACTGCACTGCGATACACTACACTGCTATACACTACACTGCTATACACTACACTGCTATACACTATACTGCTGTATATCACACTATACACTACACTGCTATACTGGTATACACCACACAACTATACACTGCTATACACTCCACTATACACCACACTACACTACTGTACACTGCTATACACTACACGATACACCACACTATACATCACAATATACACCAGTGCTATACACTACACCGCTATACACTACACTGCTATACACTACACTATACACTACACTACGATACACGACACTACTATACACCACACTATACACTACACGACTATACACCAAACTATACACTACTATACACCACATTATACACTACACTGCTATATACCACTGCTATACACTACTCTGCTATATACCACTGCTATACAATACTCTACATTGCTATACACTACACTGCTATACATTACACATCTATACACTACACTACTATACACTACACTACTATACACTACACCACTCTACTCTACATTACTATACACTACACCACTCCTCCGTCCTCCGAGGAGGGGGGATGGAGGAGGAGGGAGTGGTTGGTGTGAGTAGCGATGCAGGGGGGAGTGGATGAGATGGGTCTCCCCCCCGCCCGTCCTCCTCCAGACACCGGCTCCGGAACGGCAAACACCTCTTGCTCACCTGAATGGCCGCTCATCAAAGTGGAGGAGAAGTGCCGAGGTGAGACGTCAGGTGAAGGAAGAACCGTGTTCCTCCTTCACGCGCGTTCCTCCTTCAATCGCATCCCTCCTTCCATCGCGTCCCTCCTTCAATCGCGTCCCTCCTTCAATCGCGTCCCTCCTTCACTCGCGTCCCTTCTTCACCCGCGTTCCTTTTGGCGTCGTTCTCTGGTCTGCTAACACCGCTGGTGAGACACGAGGCCATCAAGCAGGCTGCGGTCTCTGCTGTAGGCCAATCAGTTTCAAAGACAATCAATGCCGGATTATCCTAGGAGCAAAAGTAGCTGCAAATGCAAACGCGGCGTAGGCACCACGGAGGCGAGAGATAGCGGCGATGAGGGGGAGAACACGTGCGTGAGGCGTGGGGAGGACGCTGGCTTAATGAGGGCCATCTGGGGGCACTTAATGAGGAGGGGGATATAAGGGGAATATGTGAGGCAGTTGGGTGAGTTGGTTGGAGATGAAACAGTGAAGAGATTCAAGAGAAGTCCGGGACCTCGACCTCCACACATCGTCCCCCCCAGCGGTGTTGGCTGAACCCCCGCTGGGGGCACGGGCGAGGTTGGAGGTGCGGGTGTAGACAGGCGAGCAGTGGAGAGGCTAGCGGAATCTTTAATCTGAGTGTGATAGACTTGCGGGGTGAGATGCTAGCAGAGTATACACAGAGAGAGAGAGAGAGAGTCTGTGACAGGCTAGGAGAGCGGGAAGTAACAGGCTAGCGGAGCAAGAGAGAGTAAGCTTGAAGTAGCAGGCTAGCAGTGTAAGAGTTCGAGACAGGAGAGCGTGGTGTTGAACAAGAGGGGCATCCGTGTGGGATGCTGTGAATGAAGTGACACAGGAGAAATGACGTGAATAAACACCACACTACACATATGCTACAGGCCCCGCACTAGCTTAATCCGGCACTGAAGACAGTGCTTGTAATATTATCATCAGAGCGCGTTTGTTTGCATGTTTTGCCAAAAGCACTGTGTGGTGAATGCAGCCTTGATGTTTGTGTGACGCTCTCAACACCGAGCGGAGAGCCGGGCGGCTAAAACGCAGCGAGCTGTTACAGTAGGGGCCTGGCACAGCAGTCAACCGATGGCACCTGCTGGGCCTGTTCCATGACCTCCTGCACCGAGCCTGGCACAGCAGTCAACCCATGCCACCTGCTGGGCCTGTTCCATGACCTCCTGCACCTAGCCTGGCACAGCAGTCAACCCATGGCACCTCGTTCTGTCCCGTGACATCCTCCTCCTGCACCCTAGCCTCACCAAAATGCAGCAAGTTGGCACAGCAAGGGGCACATGTGGTGTATCTGCCAGTCATCTCAGTCAGCCAACTCATGGCACCTGCTGGGTCTCTCCCGTGACCTTCTGTAAGCGAGCTTTCGACATTGCACGTGGTCCCAAAGTGCACCTGGCCTGGCACAGGCGCCGTCGTGACGTCACCGTCGCTTAGTGGCAAATGGTGGGTATTGTAAGAGAAGTCTGTTCAGGCTATACGGGGGATCTTTCCGCGCGCGTGTGTGTGTGTGCGCGTGTGCGTGTGTGTGCGTGCGTGTTTATGTATGAGCTGGTCCTAGGCCTCCCCTAGATCGACTCGGCCTAAAATGAGTACCTGGTGCTGTGTGTAAACATCGCGACTAGGGAGACAAAGGCGGTCTGGCATGGTGCTGGCCACCTACCCCCTTATGTGCCGTGCCGGCCTTCATAGGTGCTCACTAACAACATTTGCCCCAACAGTCCGTTAAGGCTACACGGGGGATCTTTGCGTGTATGTGTGTATGAGATGTCTCTTGATCTTTGTGTGTATGTATGTGTATGTTAGTGTCACGCTCCCATGCCCCCTTCATTTTTTTGTTCAGAAGAAGAGCCACTCCCTGTTGTTTGGTAGTCTCCTGCCCCGAGTAGAGGACTGTCCACCCCTCATGGTGGCAGGAGCCAGAGCCCGTCCACCGGACCTCCTGAATACCACAGCATGGCGGTGAGGTGTGGGAAGCTATAAGCCCCAGGCTACTTTGGGCTCGCCTTCCCATCAACCAGAGCCGAAGAGTGGTGGTCGTGGTTACTTATGCCCCCACTGAAGATGAACATCCGTGGAGGGATGCAGGCAAGGCCGATGAGTGAGATGCCTTCTATGACCTCCTGTCACAGGTGCTGGCTAAAGTGGCCCCTTGGAATAGAGTCATCTTGTTGGGTGACTTCAATGCCCGAGTTGGTCATGTTGCTGGCACCTGGTCTGGAGTGATTGGAAGGCATGGGCCAGATCAGCTCAATAATAGCAGCAGGAGGCTGCTAGATTTTTGTGCAGCCCATGGGTTTGTAATTACCAACACGCTGTTCCGGCATAGCGCATCCACACAACATCATGGATGCATGCCGGGTCCAAGCAAGAACATCTGCTGGACTACATAGTGACGGACCAGCGGATGCGAGCCCATGTCCTTGACACCAGGACCTACCGTGGACCTGATCTGCCTTCTGACCATCGACTTGTCATCTGTAAGATGCGCCTGCCATTCTTCCACTCCGGTGGTGGGTGTACACCCAGGACTCGATTCAAACCAAAGGTGGCCTGGTCTCAGCTAGCTGATGAAAGTTGCAAGCGAGAACTTCATTATTGCTTGCGGCTGGGGTTGGCATCGTTCCCCACTCTCCAGATGTCGAGGGTAAATGGGCGAGGTTTAGGACTGTGACTCAGGCAGCTGCAATGGCTGCTTTGGGTACATGGTCCAGACCTCCCCAGAGACCCTGGCTGACAGAGGAGGTGTTCAGGATGGCTGAGAAAAAGCGACAGGCCCACTCTAATCGTCTACAGCATCCCACGTCAGAGAATGAGGAGGCTTACCACAGCCTTCGCTCGGAGGTTCGGAGAGCCGTGAGGCGCTGCAAGGATGGGTGGTGGTCGCGGGTTGCTGAGGAGATGGAGTCTTCCTCAGTGGCCTGTGATCACATCCCTATTTAACTCGATCAAAAAAGTAACCTGCAGTGCCACACCTATTACCATCATTTGGGGAAAAAACGGTGATCCAATCTCCGACCCCCAGGAACAGGTTTGCAGATTTGCTGAGCATTTCTGTGAAGTACTGGGGGAGGGTAAATCCCTCAACATGGGAAACATCGTGGGACAAAGTGGGGATGACCCTGCTGAGGATACGGTGCCTCAAATATTGGAGGAAGAAGTCACCCCCTGTGAGTGGCTAGCTGAGGTGCCATCTGTTGAGAAAGTACTAAAGGCAATCCAGAGTCTGAGACCCAAAAAAATTCCGGCAGAGACCAGGAAAGGCACCGGGCAGAGATTATCTCCCAAGCGAAATGCTGAGGGAGGGTGGCGTTTGTGCACAGACTGCCCTACATGACATCATAACAACAGTCTGGAACACTGGACGGGTTCCACAGGATTGGAAGGATGCCCTTGTGGTCCCCCTCTTTAAGAAGGGGGATCGCACAGACTACCAACTACAGGGGCATCTCACTCCTCAGTGTCCCGGGAAAGGTCCTGGCAAGGATTATTCAACATCGCCCCAATGTGGTTTCAGGAAAGGGCGGTCCTGCACAGATGCCATATTTTCTGTCCATTTGCTACAGCAGGGAATTCCAACAAGACCTACATCTCTGCTTTATTGACCTGGTCAAGGCATATGATACCATCAGTAGGCCTGGGCTGTGGGTTGTTCTTCATGCTTTCAGAGTCCCTGACCCTCTGCTCACGATCATTAAGGACCTTCATGATGGTGAGCGGGCCCGGGTAAAACTACGTGGCCAGGAGTCGGAGCCATTCCCTGTTCACCTTGAGTTGCGACAGGGATGTCCTCTGGCTCCCACATTATTTAACATCTTTTTTGACCACATAGTTCGTGAAGCCTTCAATAGCTGTACAGGAGGAATTTCCATCTGATTCAATGGGAGGCTGATCGATGCCCGAGTGGGTCAAGGAATGGCTCCCTATTGCTCAATCATGTTACGTATGCCAATGATCTGGTAATAGCTCCTCACTCAGAGGAAGAGTTGGAGGCGCTACTGCTGAACCTGGAGCTTGCCACTAAGAGGTGGGGCCTTACCATCAGCCCCACCAAAACTAAGCACCTGCCCGGGTATTTTGTTCCATCGGACACTCCACCCCCACAACTCCCAATTGGTGATAGGGCAGTTGTAGAGAGAGTGGAGAGTTTCCCATACCTGGGCAGTGTGCTCATGACCAGCTCCGGTTTGACAGCAGAGGTCTCACTCAAAATCAGTCGAGCGGCATTATCTTTTCATCGGTTACGTAACGCTGTGTGGAAGCTACCTGGTCTGTCGCGCCGCACAAAGCTTCAAGTCTTCTCGGCCACGGTCATTCCCTCCCTTCTCTACGCTTGCGAAACGTGGACCTCCCTAATGGAGCATCTTCGCCAATTGGAAACATTTAGGCTGGCCTGCCTACGATCCATCCTGGGTTTAACCAGGCTGGATTGTGTGAGGAGCTCACAAATCCTTGATAGATCTGGGCAAAGTCCCATCAGTGAGCTCCTCTGGCAGGCAAGGCTGCATTGGCTGGGTTATGTAGCCCGCATGCCCAGTCACCGCATGCCTAAACAGCTTTTGTTCAGCCGGATAGAGGGGGCTAAACAGGCGCGGCACGGGCTAGAGAAGAGATGGAGTGATATGGTACAGGAGGATGTGGAGCTGAGTGGACTTGCTGATGACTGGTACCAGCGGTGTCAAGATCGGCCTCTGTGGAGGAGGCTCGTGAAAGACGCCTCTGGGCAGTTGGAGGAAGTCGCCCTCCAACAACAATGGAGGGCGGAGGAGCGGTGCTCACAACAATGAGCGGAGTGCCGGGTGGCTAAAGCACAGCAAGTCGGCACAGTAGGGGGCACAGGTGGTGCATCAGTCAGTAATCTCGGTCATCTCAGTCAGTCGACCTGTGGCACCTGGGTCTGCCCCATGACCTCCTACCAGCGGGCGTTCGACACTTCACGTGGCCTCAAGGTGCACATAACCTGGCACAAGCGTCATGGTGACGTCACCGCCACTTAGTGGCGAATGGCGGTTGTTGTGTGTTAGTGTATTCGAAGTCTGTTGATCTTTGTGGGTGTGTATGAGACGTCTGTTGATCTTTGCGCGTGTGTGTATGTGTATGATAGTGTATGAGAAGTCTGTTAAAGGTTATATGGGGGATCTTTGCCTTTTTGAAGAGCCAGAATCGCGCCGGGAATCCCCGCGCTCTGTCGAGGCCTCTTACTTCACCATGCCCAACGGCGGAGGCACGGATCCCAGCGTGGAGGTGACGGGCCGCGTCCCCTGTGGGTCCCCGTGGGTCCCCTTGGACCAGCAGCAGCAGGGTGTGGAGGGTGTGGGTTCCCAGAGCACCGGGGATGAGGGGGACGATGCAGGACTGGAGGCTGCCATCAACGGTGAGACGGGGGGTGGGGGAAAGGGATTGCATTATTTCATACCACCAGGTAAAGCCCCACTGAGCTGCATCACTCTTTTTCAGAAGTGACTTGGCTACCACAGCTGATAGATCAACGAAGTCACTGATATCATCATCATCACGTGGAGATTATAACAATAGCCAATTAATATAAACACACATTTATACACTCGTAGAGACTCATGTAGAACCATCGAGACCCATACTCATGTAGAACCATAGAGACCCATACTTATGTAGAACCATAGAGACCCATACTCATGTAGAACTATAGAGACCCATACTCATGTAGAACCATAGAGACCCATACTCATGTAGAAACATAGAGACCCATACTCATGCAGAACCATAGAGACCCATACTCATGTAGAACCATAGAGACCCATACTCTTATAGATCCATAGAGACCCACAGAGACCCACAGAGACCCAGAGAGACGTACACTCATTGAGACCCATACTCAAACAAACTATTTTTTATTGAACCAAATAAGGCCCAATGAGTGAGATCGCTCCTTTTCGGAATCGAGTTGGCCACAAATGGCAACTCTACGAAGTGGCTTACCATCGCGCGGAGAGTTAGAGCAGCCAAACACTCTAAATGCACGGCTTCTAAACGTGGAGGGAAAAACCAGAGGACCTCAGGCAAAATCAACGAGACCCTGGGGAGAGAGAACATACAGACTCCAAATATATAGCAGGTGTCAGGATTTGGGATCGAATCCACGACCTCCTTTAGACCAGGTGAGGTATATGACACAGTTTTTTTGGGTTAGATCGTAAATATGTAAATGTGTCGTTAAAGCCGCCATCTCCCAATACAGCCAATTAGTAAGGTTTGTCACGTAAACAGAACATAACAGTTCGTTACAAGTACAGCACTAGTGTGTAGTGTATAGTGTAGTATATAGTGTAGTGTTTGTAGTGCGTAGTGTATAGCATAGTGTATAGTGTAGTGTACAGTAGTGTAGTGAATAGTGTAGGGTATAGTAGTGTATAGTATAGTGTATAATAGTGTAGTGTATAGTGTGTGTAGTGCGTAGTGTATAGCATATTGTATAGTGTAGTGTATAGTAGTTTATAGTGTAGGATACTATACTAGTACAGCACACCGGTGTGTTGGAGAGCCAAGCCACAACATTTACAATCTGAGTACGACGTTTCGCCAGTAATTACAACTAGCTTCATCAGGCGACAGCCAGATTTGTGGAGAGGTCCACCTGTTACGTTCCTTAAATAGAGGGGTAGATGTGATGGCAACACTTGAGCACTTCTTGGGCGAAGTGGGGTGGGCGATTAATGAATGCATATACATAACTATGGGTATCCATTGATAGTTGGGTTATTTATATGGTAATCAACGTATATTTTGCATGCACGTTATGCAAGCACATTGTACTTGTCCATCCTGTCGATTGTGTGTGCTAAAATAGTCCTAACAATGGTAATCCCTATTGAAGTATGGTGACTTGTATTGGCATGCATTTAAACAATGTACCATTCTTGAAATTTTTAATCGAAAAGACACCAGATGGCTCAATGGGACACTCTGCCTACAGGAAAGCCACCCATATGGATGCCTAAAACCTGACTCCCACCACCATCCATCCCAGAAGAATTTCCTCATCAAAACTCTACACTATAGAGCTCGTTGTGTTTCTGACCATCATTACCTAGCCAGTGAACTGGAGCACGTACACCAAGCCCTCAAGATGAATGGATATTCAGACTACACAATCCGTAAAGCTATCACCCCAACCATTGGGAAAGAACCATCTGAGGACCCAATCAAAACCATCACCTTGCCATACATAGCAGGGGTCACGAAAAATGTTTCCAAAATCATGAGCAAACACAAAGATGCAGGTTCGATTTAATACAGTACATAAAATTCGTGATCTGATCCCATCTGTGAAGGATGTGATCCCTGACATGCAATACCCTGGTGTCTACAAACTGAGTTGTGGTTGCGGCAGCAGTTACATTGGGGAAACGATTAAGCAGGTAATGTCTTAACTGACTGTGATGTTTCCATCCTACCTGCCTATGTCAGCTGTTATTTCCGACTCTCTGTGTGTCTCTCTCTATGCCTCTCTCTTAGATCTCTCATGCTCACATGTCCTTTGCATTGCCCTCTCATGCCTTTGGATTGCACTCTCATACTCACATGCCCTTTGGATTGCACCCGTTGGGTTGCTCTCACGCCTTTGGATTGCACCACTCTTCGATTTTACATTAACATCATGCTATTCTCTCACATTAACATAGCCACTTCCGTGCCCTCGTCGAGGAGGCCGCTCTCCTATCTTACAGTTACATGCTTATTTCTCACATTAACATCACTAGCCCCGGCCATCTCGTATCCACCGTGGCGACAGCTGTGCGCGGTTAGAGCACTGCGAGCGTGCGTTCGAGATCCGACTCCGCTTTGCGAACGCCGACCCGCGGCTCCGCTCCTCCTCCAACCCAACCCTCACCCCCGCCCCCGCGCTGTCACCCTGCAGGCGGCATGCAGCGCCACCTCGTCAAGCGCAGCAGCGGCAGCAACAACAACAGCGGCGGCGGCGGAAACACCCCGAAGCGTCAGCGCCAACGGCACCAACAGCACCAACAGCACCAACAGCACCACCAACAACAGCAGCAGCAGGAGGCGTCGGCGGCAGGCGAGCGTCCGTACGTGTGCGAGCAGTGCGGTCGCAGCTACACGGAGCTCTCCCACCTGCGCGTGCACAGGCGCACGCACACAGGCGAGCGGCCCTACGTGTGCACCGAGTGCGGCCGCGGCTTTTCGCAGTCCTCCCATCTCAAGGTGCACCTGCGGTCACACACGGGCGAGCGGCCGCACGTCTGCGGCGAGTGCGGCAAGGGCTTCATGCAGCTCTTCAACCTCAAGAGGCACCAGAGCACGCACGTGTGACGCTCCCCCAGCGCGCGAGATGACGACGTAATATCGGAAGGAAAAGGCGTTCCAGACGGCGGCAGGAAGCAGGGCATCTGAAAGCGCCGCGCGGTGACGCGGTGATCATCTTTGTTTGATGGTTCGCCAAAAGGAGTTCTCAAAAAGTGCACCGGGGAACCCGGTCGAGAGCGCTGCACTGTGTTGCGAACCCGGCGACCTGGATTTGATTCCCGCTCCAGGCCACCAACACCAGCGAGGAGCATCTGAACCAGTCCTGGGCCTCCCCTCCGTCGACTCGGCCTCAAATGGGTAGCTGGTGTGGTGTGTAGACATTGCCACCAGGACGTGGTGCTGGCCACCCACACCCCCCCTCGTGTGCCGTGCCAGCCTTCGTAGGTGCTACTTGCTAAAAGCACTTGCTCCTGCAGTCTGTTAAAGGCTGTACGGGGGGGGGGGGGGGATCTTTGTTGGAGTGTGCCGTGGTGAAGGAGGCTCGTGATGGACCGCCGCCGCTGCTGCTACTACTTGGGTAGCTGTTGGGAGGAGGCAGTTCGCCCCTCCAGCAACAACAACAACAACAGCAGCAAAGGAGAGTGCGGCAGAGAGGGAGATGACGCTCACGATAACAAGCGGAGGAGCAGGGCGGCAACAACAAACTGCAGCAAGTTGGCGCAGTAAGGAGGGGGTGGGGGAGCACACAGGTGGTGCTGGTGCAATCTGCCCAGTCATCTCAGTCGGTCAGACCCATGGCACCGGCTAGGTCTGAACAAAAAAACCCCATAGCTCTCACATGAGGAAATGTATATACAGTGGTACCTCGGTATACGTCGTTAATTCGTTCCAGAAGGTAGGAGGACTTATACCGAAAGTGACGAACACCAAAGAATTTTTCCCATAAATAAAGGAAAGGAAATAATCCGTTTCAGAGTATAAGAAATTTTATTTTATATGGCATATACATTAATGGGGTTGTATAACATAATGTAGACACTACTTAGTACTAAAATGCATACATACATTAAAATAAATGCATAAATTAAAATAAATTTAAATAAAAATAAATGTTTACATCACTTTACCTTGCTGAGAGGAGTTTATAGCCTACGAGGATGGTGGTGAGGAAGGGGAGGAGGAGGAGATGTTATTTTTTGTAAGGAGAGTCCCCTTCCATTAAAACTTCAGGAAGCTGCAATTCTGGGGTTTTTTCTCTTTTCTGTCTTTTTTTTTTACTTAGACCTGGTTGAGGCTCACCAGGTTTGAGTTTTACTAAAAACCTGTCCATTGAAGTTTGTTTTTGCCTTCTAAGAATGTTCCTGAAGTGTGACATCTGGTCATTCCACACAATACTGTTACGGCGCTGTTGACTGAGGAGCAGCGCTTTGTTTTAGTTGTGAACGGGGTCTACGCGGGGACGCGGTGACTCATCCCGACCCATACAAGTTCTAGCAAGCGCGTCATATCCCAAGCAAGACGTCGTATCCCAAGACATTTTTTTTCTCGTCAAAACACAACTCATACCAAATTCGACGTATTCCAAAGCGGTCGTATACCGAGGTACCACTGTAATTGTTTAACTGTGAATAGCCCATCCAATAATAGCTACTGCATATTTCTCTTCATACTCTCTTAGATCAACATGTGTGTATATAATTACCGACAAATCGTCATGGTGCACGAATTGGAAACGTGCGTTGTGGGTTTACTCGCCAACACACAACCGGTTAGTGCTGAACTTTTACACTAATTGGCGCGTTTTGTTTACGTGGCAAACGCTTACTGATTGGCTGTGTCGGGTGGTTGGTGGCGGGTCTAACGGCACATATTCACGCGATCTTACAGCTGGGGCATCTGCCCAGTCGTCTCAGTCGGCCACCAACAACCGCCATTCGCCACTAAGTGGCGGTGACGTCACCACGACGCTTGTGCCCGGCTATGTGCACCTTGAGGCCACGTGAAGTGTCGAACGCCCACTGGCAGGAGGTCACGGGGCAGACCCAAGTGCCACAGGTCGACTGACTGAGATGACTGGCTGATGCACCACCTGTGCCCCCTACTGTGCTGGTGCTCCGCTCGTTGTTGTGAGCGTCGCTCCTCCACCCTCCATTGTTGGAGGGTGACGGCCTCCAACTGCCCAGTAGCGTCCTTCACGAGCCTCCTCCACAGAGGCCGATCTTGACACCGCTGGTACCAGTCATCGGCAAGTCCACTCAGCTCCACTTCCTCCTGTACCACATCACTCCATCTCTTCTCTAGCCCGTGCCGTGCCCGCTTAGCCCCCTCGATCCGGCCTAACAAAAGCTGTTTAGGCATGCGGTGGCTGGGCATGCGGGCTACATGACCCAGCCAACGTAGCCTTGCCTGCCGGAGGAGCTCATAGATGGGACTTTGTCCAGATCTTTCAAGGATTTTTGAGCTCCTCACACAATCGAGCCTGGTTAAACCCAGAATGGATTGTAGGCAGGCTAGCCTAAATGTTTCCAACTGGCACTTGGCCTGGCGTCGTGGCGACGTCACCGTCACTTAGTGGCAAATGGCGGCTATCGGTATTTTTGGTATGTATGTTGAACTTATTTGGCACTGTACGTAGCCAACCGTACTAATCGGAGCGTGCAGAACCCGGCGATACGAGACATGGAGGGACACTGAGATACAGAGAGACACACTGAGACACAGTGAGACGGACACAGAAAAAGACAGTGAGATGCAGTGAGACACAGAGACAGTGAGATGGACACAGTGAGACAAAGACGCAGTGAGACACAGATACAGAGAGACGAGACGCTGAGAGATATAGTGAGTCGGAGTGACAGACGGTGAGACCCCCTGTCAGCGAGCCTCCAGAGACAATTCCCGTGGCCTTAAATGTGCACATCGCCTGGCACAAGGCACCGTGGTGATGTCACCACCGTCACTGAGGTATCGGATGGCGGGTTTTTGGTATTGGTAGCCTGCAACAGCTGTTGTGCGGGGGGACAAAGTGCCGTTAGCGAGCGCCACTACTGAAGGCCGACGCAGGACACGACGAAGGGGGTTGTGTGTGTTGGTCGACGGCACCACGCCTGGCATGGTCCAGCACGGCCCTGGCCCGCTTTCTTCTGCCCGGTGCCGGCATTGCCGATTATTCCCCCCCCCATCACCATCGCAACATAAGGGTACAGAGACTCGAAAACGACTGGTCCCCCCCCCCTCCCCCCCCCCGCGGTGCTCTCTCCGTCGGAAGATCCCAGTGATCATCGTAATCGGCGTTTTTTAAATAACTCAATTTATTTTACTTACATTTTGTGTTACTAATACCAGGTGTAAGGCTCCCACTGTACATACCGGTTGAAAGGTGGTTCATTGACGATTGATTTATTGAAGATTGATTAACGGTTCATTGACAGATGGTTGATTGACGAACCAGCACTCGCCAATTCACTCCGGTCACTCGCTCACTGGCGGTTTGTCCCCTTATCACTCTTATAATCAATACTAGCACAGTTACTTTTTTCACATTAACTTCACTCATCGATTCTTCCACCCAAGTTAAGCACTCGGTCTACCAGACTTGACCATTTAATCTCAACCAAACTGCGTCTCTTTCTTCATGAAGGTTTTTTTGGGGTTAGATCGCATAAATATAAACTAAACAATGAAAACTAAGAATAGGTTTTACGCTTTCTGGAAATAGAACAGGTGTTAAGATATTCAATCGCCAAATATAAACTTTTTTCAAGGAATCATATCTGCATTAACCACACGTACTTGTAGTAAACATGGCAATCTCGATGATGATTTTAAAGTTGATCGTAGCTCCGAGTGGCTTCCTAATATCGGAAGGAAGAGCGCTCCAGACGGCTGCAGAAGCAGCGCATCTGAAAGCGCCGAGCGATGGGGTGACCGTCCGTCTTTGTCCGATGGTTCACCGAAAAACCCACAAGAAGCCGTTCTCAATTGAGTTCTCAATCCGGATTTCACATCACACACTGCACCAGGGAACCCGGTCGATGGCGCCGCACTTCGTTTCGAACCCGGCGACCCGAGTTCGATTCCCCACTCGGTGATAGAACATTTTGAACCAGTCCTGGGCCTTTGGCCCCTAGGTTTGACTCGGCCTCATGAGTACCTGGTGCGGTGTGCAAAAATCATCGCCAATGGGGGAGACAAAGGCAGTCGGGCGTCGTGTTGGCCATCCCCAACCCCCTTCGTGTGCCATGCCGGCCTTCGTAGGTTGCTACTCGCTAACAACATTTGCCCTACAACAGTCTGGGGGGATCTTTTTACTGTGTAAAAGTGTGTATATATACAGTAGATAATCAATTATCCGGAGGCTTCGAGGGGGAAGGGGTTGCCGGATTTTCAAAAGGCCGAATGATCACTAATCATTGTTTAGAATAGCTTATTTTGCATATGCTTGGATAACGTTATGTTTGTAGGTGTTGTGTGTGTATGTTTAATAAAGATACAAATAGCCAAAAATAAATATCCTACTGTGAAAAGTTGCTGTATTTACTGCACCCAACTTACCACTCCAATCTTGAAGACTCTGCATCATGGGGTGATGTAGTAAGTAGTACTACTCCGCTTTTGTTCCAGCTGCCATGTGTGTTTGACGATCGCCGGACTGATGCGAACACCGAATTGCACAGTGCACTTTTTGACGGATTGCACTGTGTATATTTTAATGTCTGGACTACAGGATGGGTCCTGCAGGATTGGAAGGATGCCCTGGTAGACACCCCTCTTTAAGAGAGGGGACAGCACAGACTAACAACTATAGCGGCATATCCCTCAGTGTGCTGGGAAAGGTCCTAGCAAGGATTATTCAACATCGCCTTGCCAGGCACGCTGAGGAAAGGCTTGCGGAGCCCCAATGTGGTTTTAGGCCAGGGCGGTCCTGCACGGATGCCATATTCTCTGTTTGCTACAGCAGTGGTATAGAGAGTTCCAACAAGACCTGCATTTCTGCTTTATTGACCAGTTCAAGGCGAATGATACTATCAATAGGCCAGGGCTCTGAGCTCTGGGCTGTTCTTCATCCTTTCGGAGTTACTGACTCTCTGCTCATTACTCTTTGCTCTTTAGTTCGTTCGATAAAGTCACGTTGGTATAAAATGAAATAAATAAAATCACGACGTTTCGGGCGCAACACAAGCGTCCGTCATCAGGTGTGACAACCACAGCAAGACAATTGCTGAAGTGGGCAAAAGGACTGCTGTAACAAGAGGCTATATAGGTAAGAGAGGGGGGGTGGAGCCAGGGAGGAGAGATAGAGAGGCTGGGGATGTGGGGTAGGGTGAATAGGGTGCTGACAGTGCCGGGGCTAGGAAGTAAACGGGGC